TGGTGCGCATTTATAAGGTGAAAGATTTGCGAAATCGCGGGGTATGAACAGGTAATTTGCTAAGTTCTAGCAACACATAATTAATGCTCTAGCCAGTGACGTACTTTTATAGTATTTAGAAATTACAAAACAGAATCTGAGTCTTGCTACAGTTTTGTATAATTGTTTTGGAATTGAAGTTACTAAAAGTGGTGCTTTGTTTATTCTTGAATGTACTGTTTTTTTTCTTCTCGAAACATGAAATCTGCGTCGAACTTAACTATGCACACATGTATGTATTTGCGTCAGAAACTTGAAATTATAATTATAGAAAAAGGTGCAAATATAAATTCATTGCATCTACTAATGTACGTTCTCTAAATAACAGATTAAGTATGCATGTTTTGCCCTACATTATAAGTAATCTGACTTTTAATAAGAAGGCTTTCTAATCAAGATGTTATTTGTAATTTTATAATGTAAACGGATCAAGTTTTACTTATCAATGCAATATAATGCATAAAATGAATATTAGATCTGCAATCAATCACTATCTTGGTCGTCGGCTCTCTATATACTCTTAAGTTTAAAATAATTATTGTTTGAGTTACATATTGCATTTACAACACACAACTTTTAAAATACAAATAGGAAAAGACTAATAGCACTAAAGAGATGCAGTGAAAAAAGGACCAATAGCATATGTTGAAAAGTAATGAATGAAAAAATAAAAATTTTCTAAGACAAAATATACATCTGTATATAAATTCTTTGTTTTGTACCGAAGGATTTTGTTCTATACGGTTATGTGGTTGGAATGATCGAACCTTTTAAGCTTTCAAAATTGGGTGGTCTCTCTGGATGCTGTTGTTTAGCGGTTTACTTAGCCCTACCGAGATCGGATAGCCCTTGTTGTTGTAGCGGCTACTAAACCCCACTCGGATCAGCTTGTCCAGGAAGTGTGCTACTTCCACTGGGTCTGTCCATAGGGACAGGGGCGTTAGCAGGGTGGAGTTTTTGGGGGCATTCGAAGAGGCGCCGAGAGACATGTGGCGACTCTCCGCATGTCTGCCACTAATGGAGCACATCTGCGTTTACTCTCAGGTACGTGTTTAGCCTGCTGCAGTAGCCAAAGCAAGGTTGAGCTATTGTGATACGAGTCGCCCGAGGCAGCCAAAGCTCTGTCCCGTCCACGTCGGGTGGCTGTATACCTAAAACGCCATTCCCAGGTCGGGAGTCGATGTAAGTCAAGACCGACTCCTTGTGAATGCCGTTTCGAGGCCTGTTGGTATGCAATGGGGTCCAGATCTTGTTTTGTGGACCTCTGGACTTCGTCCGTCAGTTGGTATAAGTGCTTCTTGACTTGCTTTGGCGAGGGCTCCTTGATAGGAAGCATCTGGGCCTCGTCGTGTAGGTGGTGATGAGGCGACATCAGAAGGCAATCAAGTCGCGGTTCGCAGTGCCGTGTTTTGGTAGCTTCGTCCACTGCGCTGCAACTTCGAGGATTTTCGGGTTATTCACCGACGGAATAAGTTCGCTATCGACGTGAAAAACCAGCTGCAGTCTGACCTCCTTCGTCCAGGTGGTAAATAGGGTTGCCGAGGATTTGGTTAGAGAGGGAGAGGGCTAGGCACCTTGCAGCGAAGAAGCGAGAAAGTTCGGAGATGGCTACCAGAACTTCACCGCTGGTGAAAACAAGAGGCGCGCTAGGAGTTGGCAGTTTCTGCAGCCTTCTGGCCACTCGCCGTTCGGCTTTATCCGCCGGAGGATGCAGCGTATGTACAGAGTATCGTAGAAGAGACTGACCGCAGCGGTACCACTCTAGAATGTCTGCCAAAATATTTAACGTTTATACATATACTCCCAGTCAGATGCTTACACAACATACGCCCGATTGTGGCCGAATCTAAAGCTGGTGGCATTAGTCAACCCTTAAAACGAATAACGAAGGCTCTTCCGAGTCCCGGTTATCTTTCATCGTGAACCAAGGCTCAGCATGAGTTGGTTACCGTATCTCGCACATGGGCTCATTCCATTGCTCAGAGTGCGCAAACGGGGACGCAGGAATCGGGACTGAATATAGCCGTGCAACTGTAACTACATACCCAAAAGAACGACAATAAGGAGAGGAATAACTTTCTGAACTAACTAAAATCAAGTGATGATTGGGAAGGAAATAATTGAAGAGTTTACTGAAAATCCGAACCGTTTGTTTCTATCATGAAAATGATTGGAAATAATTTTTCTGGCAATGGTCTCAATTCGCCACCACATTATCCGACCTTTTCATGAAGCACTGGGTTGTTTTTTAGGGTAAGTATTGAACGCTAAAAAAAACACAATTCGTCATTTCATTAGTCAGTTCGTGGCATTTAGAGTTAAGTTAAAATCCAGTTCGTCATTTCGGGCCAAAAACTACGGGTATTGTTGTGAGATCCTTTTAAACAACTCCCCCTGCCCGAAACTTCGATCGCCGTTTTACCATCAAAGGGAATGCTATTGACACATTGGGCTTGTTCGAGTTGCAATCACAACCGCAGTGTTGCGCGAATTATTAAAGTATCACGTTCTGTATGCATTTCTAGCAATGTATTATTAGTTGGGCAGTTGCAACAATGTTGCCATTTTTCATCAGTACGGCAGTAATGCCGCTTTTATTACGTGCCTCGAACAGGCCCATTACCTTAATGACTCCTCTTGGATCGCCACATCCAGCGGTAGCAAATCCAATCCCCACCTGACGTTGTGTTCATGGCGACCGTAACGGCTATACATATACTCTTTTGCTGCCCATTTAAGATAGATACTGTGGCTTTAGCCATGGTTCTAGGTCACTATACTACAGTAGAATACGTGCCAATCGGGCTAACTACATATGTCAGCCAAAGTTTCATAGCCGGTCTCAAATCTAAAGCCTGACCAAAAGTTCTCCAACACCGTCCGAAAACTTTTTTATTTACCTTCAGCGCGACACGCCATCCGAGCCAGATGACTTAAGGTCGTCAAAGGTGATAAGGGAAACCCGGACTGTACCAGTTTAGTATGTCTCCGCCTTTCTATTTCTCTGGCCTAGGACCGACTCTTACTCAAAAACACCTTCCAGGTTCTGTTTATACCACGTAAAACAAAGTTATAGAGGAATGGAAAACGAAGCTCCGGATGAGTACCTTCTTCTGATGTTGACCACGCTGAATGTTTAAGCGACTATGATTTGAGGGCACGTAGCTGCAATGTCCGGATCCTTAATACGACTACCGCTCATAACCTCCGTCCTAGAAAGTCGCCGGACTGGCAAACAAAAAATATGTGCGGCCTTGCGACGTCTACTACAGCAGCCATGCTAGGGAGCCCAAATTTAGTGTCGGATTTGTGGTGGGGAGGAAGTTCGTCGCCGAGTACTGTCCTCCCATCGGATATTTGGTCTTGCCATCGTATGACGAAACGTCCGATAATGGACTAAATCTGATCGACATTCACATTTCCCGCTCATTACGTACCGTCGCCGAAGAAGTGGCCGGATTTCAGCGAACCCAAGAAACAACATGGGCGACAAGAAATGTCTCGAAGCAGTAGAGAAAAAACCGCCTACAGATGGGGTTTTTTCGAACTTTTGGAGAAATTCCATATTAGGAAGAAGCAGCATGATGCCGGTGAATAATGAAGAGAAAATTCGAAACCAAAAAATAGTTTGGTTTTCAGCTCCGCAACGCTTCTGAGAAATGTTACTACGTCAACAACTTAATTTGCGTATATACACACATATGTAGATTAGGGTGGTCCAAAAGAGTAAAGTCGGAATTATAATGCTCAATAAAGGGCTCAAAGTTTCCATATATTTTATTGGTGAAAAAACCACTTTTTGTAGGAATAGGATGGAATTCTTGAAAATCAATATTTTTCGATGGGAAAACTATGGTTCTCTTCAGGATACTTAACTTAATCATTTTTTAATATTAAAGTTGTTTTTATTGGTCCCCCATTGCATTTTCTGAAGTTTTTGGCGGACCTTTTAAATACAGTTACTGTGAAAAAAATGGTTAAGTAATAAAAGGGTATCGTTGGGCACTTTCAGAAGGCGCAACAGCTCAGTAACTGTTGCGATTGCACCTTCTGAACGCGTTGTTGTGTACTTCTGATCAACTGAACCCTTGCGTGATAGATGATCGTAATATTTTTCTGATCAATGGCTGCGCTCAACAGCTGCGCCTTCTGAACCTACCCATTATTGGGAATCTCCTGAAGAGAAACAGAGCTTTCAGATGGAAATTGGTTAATTTTCAAGAATTCTATACCACGAAATATTAATTTTTTGTTAAGTTAAAAGAATAGTTTTTAATTTTATTTTAGTCTTATTTTCGGAACGAAAAAGGTTTTTTTTAATATAAGATCAACTTAAGTAACAGCTAATTTATCATTTGGATAAACTTAAGTAACAGTTAATTTATCAAATGCCGCTTAAAAGTTTTTATTATGTATAAAATTTCATTTTCTAAATTATTTTTCATTAATTTAATGTCTATCGATTCGAATACATGGCCTACGCTGAGTTTGTTGGCTTTAGCCAATCTTGAAAAGCAAAAGTGCTGACAGTTCGGAAATTAATCCCCTGCAGGAACATCTGACTTAAGTAGCGCTAACGTCATTGAATTAGCTCCAACCATCTGTCGTCCCTCGGCAGGCAATGGCAAACCTCCGAGTGTATTTCTGCCATGAAAAACAGCTTCTCATAAAAATACAATCGCCGTTCGGAGTCGGCGTAAAACTGTAGGTCCCTCCGCTTTGTGTGACAATATCAAGGCGCACGCCACAAGTTGGAGGAGAAGCTCGGCCAAACACTAACATATGTGTAAGCACCAATCTATTATTATTATTATCTGTCGGAACGGATTAAATATTAGTTTTAAGTATGGAGGCATGTCCCAACGATTTTATTGCCCATTTGTGCCATTGGTGTGAACAGAACCCTTAGCAATGTAAGCTAGCACGTCTAATTTGGTGGCAAGTCCTTTGATGACCTCTTCATCACCTGCATAATTAATAAATTTGCATTAAATCAGTATTTTGACAGACGCTGGGAAACTCACCTTCATTGTCCACAATTAACACGCAGGGATCAATTTCTAGAATGCGCGCCAATTTACCCAATATAGCAGTGGAAGGCAAACGTATTACACGTTTGTTCACTGCCTTGATGGCAGGCTCGTCTTGTTGGCGATTCATGCTCACGATCTGACTGAGTAGGGTTTCTTGAAGTAAGGCGCCCAAAAGTGCGCTAAAAACAAAAATCTAAGTGATGTTTTATTGACAAATAAGTGCTCCAATTTCTCGCTTACCCATCCTCGGCATCGACGAGCGCCAATTGTTCAACATTGTGCTCGTTCAGAGCCTCAATCGCCTTGGTAAAGCTCACATCCGATTTAAGCACCACAGGTACCTTCATGTTCAACGCACTCACCGGCGTATCCCACCACCAGTGATTGTGTTCGTTCACCACCGGTTTGAGGTCACGCGCCTCCATCCAATTATTCGATACAAATTTCGTCATATAATTTCGTATACCATCGGGCAGAATAACTACACAACGTTGTCCCTCCTTCAATTCCTTGGCGACCTGCAACGCGGCATACATGGCGGAACCACCCGAACCCCCGCATAGCAACGCCTCTTCGGCATTCAAACGCTTCGCCATCGTAAAGCTCTGTTTATCATCCACTTTTAACCATGAATCCACAACGTCGTAGTCATTAACAGTAGGCGTGAAATCATAACCAATACCCTCAACTTCATAAAAGTTCACATTCGTCTTATTGAGTGCTTGAGGACGCGCCAATGCCGAACCGTAAGGATCGACGCCAATCACTTTGCAGTTGGGCAATACCTCCTTGATTTTGCGACCAATGCCGGTGACTGTGCCGCAGGTGCCTGCGCATACGACTACCACATCTACTTTGTTATCTGTCTGCCACAATATTTCGGCGCCAGTGCCATCATAGTGCGCGAGTGGGTTGCCAGCATTACGGTACTGATCCAAAACAATAGCATTTGGTAATTCCTTTTGCAGACGTTGCGCCACACATATTAGGCCTTCAGGACTATCGTATGGCGCTTCGGTTGGTGTGCGTATGATTTTGGCGCCTAAGGCACGTAGTGCAGATACTTTCTCATTAGACATTTTCTCCGGCATCACGATTACACAATTGTAACCCTTCACAGCGGATGCCATGGCAATGCCAATACCTGTATTGCCCGAAGTTGGTTCGATGATTGTGCAGCCGGGTTTGAGTAAGCCTTTTTCCTCGGCATCTTGAACCATGCGATAGCCAATGCGGTCTTTAACCGAACCACCAGGGTTTAGGAACTCGCACTTGGCATCTGAGTGGGAAGAGAAGACATAGGTGTCATTAATGCAATGCGTGCAAAGGAATTTTAAAATTTTACGCTCTTTTGTTTTTATGAAAAACTATATATCGATTGTAATGACACAACAGCGCCCCCTGTCTGTGCTTATTGATCAACCCAATATATATATATATTATATATATATATATATATAAATATATGCAATTTTGAGTTGTGTTTATTGCAGAGGATCATCGATATGTCGTTTCTGCTATGGAACTTACACATTTCACATTTGATACCCTCCGCTTTGGGTATCGCATTCAGTTTGACCAGTGGTGTGCAGCCAATAACCTCTAAAATATTTGGCGTCAGTTTCTGACGGTGAGCGCTGAAAATGTCCAGAGTATGCAAGATTAAAGAATAATGGAACGCTAAAAAATTTATATCTGACTCACATAGGTCGTTGGGTATGTGGCGTCTTTTCCTTTGTGCCCAAATGCCAAGTGCATTTCGATGGCAAACCAGGATCAATGAAATCCTTTGGGCGTTCATAAGGTTTATTGGCAGGCATTGCAAATTAGCTGTGGAAATAAAATGGATAAGAATAAATTAATTGGACTCATATTTAAAGCTTTCATTAAAAAATAATAATAATTTTTACATTTAGCAACAATAAATAAATAACTTACAACTAATGCCAATACTTTCTTTGACTAACGTATAATGATTCCTAATTGGCAGGAGAAAAGGCTTAACTTTATGCTCTAATTAATTAAATGTCCCGCTACGATTTGATCGTTTAGGTAAAATCACCTTTGTAAGCCGTTTATTTTTCTAATTCGTATTCTTTCAGAATCCAGGATCAAAAAAATTACCTCATCCGACTTAGGATATTTGACCTTTGCTTTTCCTTGATCTAGACGTGGTAGGATCGCGGGTCGCTGACACCCGAAAAATCTTCACAACAACTGAGCTCAGGGATTCTCCGCCTCGATTTCCCGCGATCAGCTACGCTCCACGATTGCTTGCTAATATAGAAATATACTAAGTCCTCTAAATGCTGCTAAAGATACAATGAAATTTGTAGACCCTGGGCCTATGATACGTAGGCAATCATACAGTATAGTTAGACTAGGTTAAAATGTGTGGAGAACAGACCTTCTGATGCTTCCTGAGCTCTCTAGCACACAAACCACCCTGCTGATTTGGTTAACCTCTCATTTATATCTGTGAAGTTATTGCAAAGGAAGGTTTTGCAATCGGGCGTAATCTTATTCCGCTTAAAACTGGTCAGTGATATAAAAGATTGTGTCTATTTTCCTTTTGTTCTATTTTCCTACAATTATGACACGCGTTTCGTGCATCCAACCATAGTCTTATGGTGTTTAAGCCCATTAGATAGTGGCTCATAAGACTTTCTATAGTTTTTAAACTTAAGAGCATTTATAGGTCTTGTTAGGAAGGTCAAGTCTCCCGGTGGTTGCAAAGGACGAAAGTCTGTTTCAGCGTTTATTGCCCACATGAGTTGATTGATATCTTACAAAGTTTTTGAAGATGGTAATTTTTATAGCAACTGTGCTTTACCTGGAAGACCGGAATTCAGTGAGCGACTTTGCATTGTCTAGGCGTGGGTCTAAAGCGCTCAGGGCCGTCTGATTTTAAGATAATATTGAGAATTGTTTTAACTCTGTAGGTCCTTGAGCGAGGCTCCTTCATGTTTCCTAGATAAACAAAACTTCCGCTTGATATACATAAAAACATACATACGTAGTAGTGGACAGGTAGCCAAAAAGATGCCTATAGCCACAGTTCAGCTGTCCCTACGTTTGTTCCTTTATGTATGCAGACATCTGAATAGCAGAGAAGTTAATGACATAAGGCATATGGTGAGATCTGGCCCGAGCTTCCGTCAATCCGTGAGCCGACTTCTTTCAGCCGTACTGATACAATGACAGTCCATATCGAGTTTTTAAACCAAACTCAGGTAGATGCAGATGTAAGATCGCATTAAGGCTGTGTAGCATACGACCCCGCTTACACATGCACAGTTTGGTAAGCACTTTGCATCGCCTAGAAAAATGGGATTGGTTTTTTCTGGGACTACCTCTCGACAGCAATTTTTCGACTAGCTACCCCCAGACCACAAGGCCTGACATCCATCTCTTTAGAGGTACCCATCTTACCAGAACACCTTAACTTGCAACAATCTGTCAAGTAACCAATGAGAGTTCCTAAGCTCTCTTCTCATATCAAGCCGTCGGGAAGTT